ATCTTGTATATACCAGACTACCCCCAATCTAGTAGTCTCCCGATAATTCACGAAGGTTCGAGAAGTACGTGGCGTGATACTAGTCACGTGACCTCGCTGACGCAACAGTATCAAGATATATCGTTAGCAACACAAGTTTAAATTTTGGATGTGTGCGGTATCAAGATACAACATAAGTTTAAGTATTATAAACGCCAGATATAAAGATACAACATAAGTTTAAATATTATAAACGCCAGATATAAAGATACAACATAAGTTTAAATATTATAAACGCCAGATATCAAGATACAACATAAGTTTAAGTATTATAAACGCCAGATATCAAGGTACAACATAAGTTTAAGTATTATAAACGCCAGATATCAAGGTACATAAATTGATGAAGCATATAACACACCCATTTCTCTCCTCGTATGTCTAAACACATTCCTACTGTTAATTCCATCTACGTAGTTGTATGACAAGGGTATAAATGTAAAAAAATAGGAAAGAGGGAATTGAAATAAGTATATGTACACACTCTTTAGAGAAATAATACGACTTACGCTAAAACTGTGCACTTTGTCACGTGACGTCTAACTTTGAGTATAGAAGTCTGTATGTGCCTGTGTTCTTTGTACCAAAGCCACAGTGGGCTGTCTACTGTGTCCACCGAGGGCTTTCGAACCCCTGATTTCAGCGTTGTAAATCCGTAGAGTTACCACCAGGTTTTGTTAGTAGTTATAGCACTGGTACCATAACAAACTTTATACCTCTACTTCATTTGTCGAGACTTAAATACTGAAGTGTAATTAATAAAGAAAAGAGCACAACGAATGACGTGTCTCACCACGAGAAATACTTCCTCGAATGATTCACTCTTTACTTCCTTATTAACATTCAGGTTAACATATGTTCATTTGTATTTGCATATCATAATAGCTTCAAGATAATATCTGCCTTAGTATTGTTTTACAGGGACACATCTGTCGGCCGTCAGTATAATTGATAATTTTTATATATGGATTTCGAACTAGTATAACATTTAGGTGAAACTTAAATAAATTTAAAATGTATCGTTTTCAGTGCAAACGTGATCAACATTTTAAACATATTGTTACGTCTCCGTTTGTTAATTGATTTTTCCGTAACTTCGTTCCGACGAAACTTTAACGACACAAGTCTTTACTTAATAAAACTGGTTTATTCTTTCCGAATATAACTTTACGATACACTTAATTTCAGTATTCGCGCTAAAACAAACAATATAACGAACGAACGTTAACTTCAACAATACGTCTCTCCCTGACCGCAGTTCAATTACTCATTACCTACACACACATTACCGCATCACGTTGTCACCCTCTTATATATACCAGCCTACCCTATCTAGTA